CGGCCCCTTCCCAATCATCTCCATCATCAACCCAGTCTCTGTAAAATTGCAGTTGCTGCGCTCCTTGAGGATTCACCCAGTATTCCATGTCTCCCTCCTTAAACCAGTTGTCTCCAGCCCCCTGAACCCCCTCCACCCGCCCGTCTCGTCGAGGGGGGGCCCGTCTACACAGTCAATCGCCTCCTGGATGTGCGCCGCTGAGGCAGAGGGTATCAGTACCTGGTGGACTGGCAGGGTTATGGACCAGAGGAGCGTTGCTGGGTGCCCCGTTCCCGGGATTACCGCCGTTGGAACCCAGAGGGTCTAAACGGTTCGCCAAGAGGCTCCTGTTGAGGGGGGGTACTGTTAGGGACTCGGTTTTCTTAACAGTTTCCCCCCAGTCTGTGCTTTTGTTTTGCTTGTTTTGTTTTTCCACCTAGAGTTTCCAACCGTGTGTTCCGCCTCCGGCCCCACCCCTCTCCCAAGTGCCCAGCTGTGGCTCATTCCGGGGATCACTTGTGACGAGCATGAAGGCTCCTGCATTCAGAGGCTCGTCATCAGTCTGTCCCAGTACCCAAGCTGGTCTCAGGTGCCGTTGAGACTGAGATACAGCAGCTAACCAGTTTTTCATGTTTTTGTTTGTTTTTTGTATCAGACCCATGGAGTACCACGGAGTACACGTGACCTGTTTTTGAGTTGGACCTGTGAGTATGGTGTCGGGCCTCGGGTTTCCACACCAGACCCTGCTTAAGCCGCCCCAGACCGCCAGACGTCGGTGGAGTTTCCCTTATTCACCGTGTTTTTTTGTTGTTGTGGAAAATAAAACCATTTTGGCTGAAAATCCAAGGCTGCTGTGCATTTGCTTTTGGGTCCACCAAATACACCCCCCCCAACAGGGTCTCAGCCACCAGACAACACAGGACCAACAGCAAACCCGGCGCAGGAAAGAAGAGACAGGTTAACGGCCAAGGAGGCGGTAATATAGGTGTCGCTGATCGCCTGATGCGCCGCAGCTTCAGCGGCTGGAGAGGCTTGGCCTGCGTAAAACACTCCCCTTGCTTTCTCTTAAAACACAGAGACAATATGAAGTCAAGGGACGTAACAGTATGATTAGAAGCAATGTTGGGAGTATTCAAAAAGAGCAGCAACATTTTCTGTTAAAGCAGTTTCATGTTCAAATCACAACAGGCTTGTGTGTAATATAAAGGTTGGAGGTTTGACTCTACTGAGAGCCAGCCGTTTCTTCCACATTGAAATTCCTTGGTGATGTCCACTCTGCATTGGCCTCTCTGGCTAAGCCTCGGGAATATCAACCAGCTGTCAGCCCCTTGCTCTCTCACTGTCTCCGACTCTTACTGTCTCTCACCCTATCACTCTGTCTCTGTATGCTCTCTTGTTGACAGAACACAAGTGCTGCATCACCATTTTAATTCTGCCGTGGGCATGCAGGCTTTTTTTAAAAAATTCTTGCCAAATATGCATTGAGCAAGCAGTGATGAGTATGAATCTTAATGTAGAGAGGGCATGCCATGGGAAAATCTGCTCCCTACATTAGTCTTTCTGTCTCACCTATGGACCGTCTATGCACCTCGTCTGTGTTTACAGGATTGGTCTCCCTTTGATTCAGTTTAATTAGCCCACGACTGAGGAGCTGAATGTGACCATGCGACCGAGTGAGAGAGCAATAAAGAGGAGACAGACTCTTGTTACTGAAAAGTAGATTGGTACATACCGTATTGGTATGTCCTGTTGAGGATGTTTATAATGATTAGAGGAAGAAACATTTATGTGACTACTAGATTGATTCTTCTGTATCATTCAAACCGTCATGTGATACTATAAGTATGGGGCTCCACCCTGCAAAATGTATTTTCACTAAATAACCATGTCCAGATACTTTTCGTTTGGGCCTGTTTTTATATGTTTAGGGTAAGATCCATTGTTTCCGTCAATGGGTCTGGAAATCCGGGTTTATCTGTCTAACCAATAGTCCAACGCCCAAATACATTCCTTTTAGTATCCTTTCCAACCTTGTATTGTTGATTCAACCACAGCGATGACTACAAGACTACAACAAATGAATTCCATAAGTTATGCTTCACACAATATCTGAAGCAGAATATTTCTAATACCGCTGTTCTTTGAAACACAACCACACCTAAATATTAAAGCTGCACCTACAATGTGTCAACATTAACAACGGTGAACATGTGAAAAATGTGAAAAGTGGCTCCCATGGCGACCAACCTGAACTCTGTAGTTCACATCAGCTCCATGCAGCGGTCAAGCATCTTGCAAGTCATTGCCTTAGTTTAAAGTACAACAACTTGTTTCACTCTCACCGCTCTTATTGAGCTCAGCAGGTGCTCCAGTGAAATAGCTTCAATGACTACAACGTGTAGAAACCTTTAGCAACTGTCATGAGTTTGTGAAAACAGAGCGATAGGGCGAGTAAATATTGGACAAACCACATTCAGGCATGAACATCTGTCTGATTGCCAGAGACCCAACTCTACATAAATGCTGATTTTCAAGCGTCTGCTGTATGTGTATGGATGTGTAGAAAGGAACTTGTTTACTAACACGTTAGCCAAAACATCTTTGTACGGCTTTATCATCTTATTGTGAGGCTGTGCAGCCAAATGGAAGAAACACTACCAAACAAAAAACAATAAATACGGCTTTCGAGATCTCCTATTGTAGACGTGCCAATCTTCACCTGCCGACCAGTTGTCCCTAGAGAGCCCCTACTCCACTCCACGTGACTTTTCATTCTGCATATGGGTCCATTTCAAAACTGTAACATTCAACCTGTAACTGAAACAATCTGCTATGGTTGGCCATCACATCATGTATAATGGTCCGTAACTAGATGTAATTTCTTCACTAATTCTCTGTTACTAGTCATTTGTATTCTGTATTTTAGGGGGCTCTCAGAATAAGAGTGTATTATCATGACACAAGCTAACTCATTTGCCTCCAAATTGGAGGCAGACCTGGACATGCCACCTCGGTGACAGGTCAAAACCACCTCGAGGCGATTTATGAATTGAATTGTTGAATAGTATGAATTGTTTGAAAAAATGACTGAATTAATGTTTTATTATTATGTAATACCACTGAAATGGTCCATCCAACATGGGACCACATGACACAGGATTATACCACATAAACAAAGACCCGTTGCTGAATATATACATTCGAAGTTCCTGATGAAATTTAAAAAAGGTAAAGTACAAAAAGGACCTTCTATGTTTTACACAAACAGAACAAAGACAATATTTTTTGTTGTAGTGCCATTGCATTGTCCAGATAAAATTGGAATGTAAGCCTTATTTCAGTAACTAAGAATCTCCCAAAAATTAAATAGTGTCCATTCTCACAACAAACAACAAACAACAAACAATAATAATAATATAGTAATCTGTGAGGTAACTACTACTTAGCTCACAGGTTTAAGTACTGTATTGTGAACAATACTGAACAGTAAGAAAATAAATATCTTTACCTCCTCTACTTCGAATTCGATCAAATTAACTATAAAAGATTGTTTTTTTATTATTTACATAGAACATTTTCTACTGCGACCACTTTACTTTGATATTTTCTCTGTCATATTCAGCACTTGAAATGAGTCCTTATGTGGCAATACAAAGTTCTCTCTGTCACTTCCAAATTCTCTGGAGACTTCAAGCCTTACTTTAACTCTTTCAGTTGCCATGGATACCTATGGCAAGGCAGTTAATTTGAGGCAACAATGAACTCCGTTCTTCCAAGCCTTTGACAATTTTCCTTCCAAACTAACAATCTATGAGACCCCATGTATCCTCTCGCAGATACTGACACAAACCCACTAAAGTATCCACACAAAGTCATGACAATAAACTTGACCGTTGGATGACAGCAGAACAACAATCAATGTAATCTCCTGCAGCACAATCCAAAGCGACTGTCATCATCTGTCCATGTATCCCAGTGGAACAGGGGGAATGTGTGAAATCAATTCTGCATTCGTTTAACGACCAGCCAGCCACATCAGTCTGGCCCTGAGTGCTCCTGTACGGTCTTTAGTGAAGCCCAACTCTAGTTAGTAGCTAGTTAGTAGTAGTAGTTTAAAAGATATATTAAATTGTTTGGGAAACACTGTCGGGACTTCACCATGTGGGGGTAAGAAAAAAAATGCATACATGTAATAAAAATCCTAACCTGGTTTAAACCATGCAAAGTCCTCATAAGGCAGTGTTTTTCAACCTTTTTTGCGTCAAGGCACACTTAAGACACAGAAAAAATCTCACGGCACACCAACAACCGGAAATGATATGAAAATCAATCCCAAACATAGTTTCAGCATGAGCATAATATACTCTAAGAAATCAGGGAAACGCGTGTTCTATTTGTTGTGTTTTATTAAACTTAACATCATCCTAATGCCAAGATGGCACAGGCTTTATGCCCAGGTATCTCTTAAGCCTAGTTTATGCTTCTGCGTTTTCCCTTGCGTCGCTTTTCACACCTCCTTGCGTGTTTCGAGCCATTTTTTTAGCCTTGCGTCGAAAGCGACGCAATCCTCCCGCAGCGCACCAGGCTGCGATTGGTCCGCTAACTACGTCCTTTACGGAGTCTCACATTTCCGCTTTCATAGACCGATACCGCCATTATTAAAACGAAGAATGTTTACGAGAAAACGGATCAGATTAAAGAACTTTTGTCGGAAGAAATGCGTAAATATGACCGCATATACAAGCCGTCATTGGCGTCAGTGGTCAGTGGCACACTGGTTGAAAAACACTGCCATAAGGCATTACAATTTCACCTGAGAGTGAGATTTAGTTTAAACCACAACAACGGTGCCTCATTGGACGAGCCCAATGGGAACCCTGGTGTGTGACCAAGACGTCAGCAGAACATTAGTTGCTAAAAGGAAGTAACAGCATTGGTATTTGCCCTGCTTTCCCCCCACTTTAACCTGCTACTGGGAGATAACGCAGCTACCTGATGCTTCAAGTTGACATTGTTTTTACCTGGTGCCACAGGCGTAGCAGTGTGCCGCTTAACCCGCTGACAGAACATGTTACAGTCCACCATCTTTGGCTAGAGAATCTCTGCCAAACAAGTCAGAAAAAAACACGATGAAACATAATTGGTGTGCTACTGGTGTGATCATGTTGTTCCACACAGCTAATCTTTGATGTGTTCTGCAAAATGGACTGTGTGGTTCAGTAGTATTTTGTGATAATTTAATTACATAGAAAAAATATTTGCTATGCAATGGACCTTAACGATCTTTATGGGTTATAGGGTCTCTTAGTGGAGCATACTAAGGCCCTTAAGGGTCTAGGGCCCATGGCATTTGCCCCAGTATCCTGGTTTGTAATTCAATTCAATTCATTTTATTTTGTATAGCCCAAAATCGCAAATTACAAATTTGCCTCAGAGGGCTTTACAGTCTGTACACATACAACATCCTCTGTCCCGAAACCCACCATCGGCACAGGAAAAACTCCCCCAAAAATGAAAAAAACCTTCCCAAGAGGGAAAAAAGGGAAGAAACCTTAGGGAGAACATCAGAGGAGGGATCCCACTCCCGGGATGGACAGACTACAATGGATGCCAATGGATAATTCAGCCATGACTATATATTTTATCAAACAGGTGGGACAGTCCTACATCTTTGTTGTCATTATATGTGTTTTACGTGTTTGTGAGTGCATGTGCGTGATTCGCATTAAACATTCGACTGGCCGGGATGGCATAAAGTATGTTTGGAAGGTGAGTCCAATAGCCTGTAGGAGACGCAAACTACTTTGGCGTCTCCTACAGGCTATTTAGGTCAGTTTTTCTTGAGATTCACCCTGCCATCTACGGATTATTCTAAAAGAGTTTTTATTCTATAAAAGTATTTGGTTGAATAATTTGTTGTTAATTTGTTATTTTGAATTGAGGTGTCAGTCATACCCATTTCTCAAAGTCGGATATCAACATTTCAATAACCTGGGACATATTAGCGTGGAGACTTTGTTCTACCCGGAAATCTTAGCGCTTACACATGTACCCTGAATTCGTTTCGGCACGCCATTGTGGGAAATATTTACTTTCACACCACTGACTCCTTGCTGAGAGCGTACCTTCAAAGTCATCCCGGGTGAAATAAAGAAAGAAATAACTACCCCACAATGGCTACGGACTCCTGGGCACAAGCAGTGGACGAGCAGGAAGCCGCGGCGGAATCGGTAAACGCTGAACTTACACAACACGAGCTAACGTGTTGTTAGCATGGAGGGCGCTTCGGCCTGTTTCTGGCTCTGTTGTCACGGAACGTCACGGCTGAGCATTTTTCTGTTTCCACATTAAAAGCTTTTCAACAGGCTATGCCATAGTATGTTTTAATGACAACTACAAAAAAGTGTAATCTACCTGGTGGCCTGTTGGTCGGGAAAGCTAAATGAAGTAGCAGGAGCTGAGTCGCTGCGTGCTTGCTGCGTTAAACTAACGACTAGCAAGCATATGACGCACGTTCCTCTAACATAGTTCTAATGATGCTCATCATGACTCAAACGTTTGCCACAGTTAGTGCCTCTGGCGTATTGCCCTGTCCTAACTCGTATAGTGGCAAGCATTGTTTTATCAGACAAACACCTCTTTGAACTTTATTCTTTCCCCCTTACAGATCGGTAGCCTCCAAATAAAGGACAAGCCAGAGGAAAATGGTAAGTGCGTGTGCAACATTAAGTGTGCGACGCAGTGGTGAGAAAAATCCCATATAATGTTTTGGTTGTAAACATAAGTACATTATTTACTATTACAGGAACGGCTGCGAATGCAACAGACTCCAGCAGTGCTGCTGTCAAGTCAGAAGTTGCCGTAGAAGAAAAGGGAACCGATGAATATGACAACGACAAAGGTGGGCGCGGTTTATTATTTAGATGCTCCACATTTGTCACGCTTTGTTTTTCATTGAGATATTTCGTTGTCTCTTGAATTGTTGCAGTCATTACAACGTAGCTTTTTTTTCCAGATGACAAAGCGGCACAGTCATTATTGAACAAGCTCATCCGGAATAATCTCGTCAATAACACAAATCAAGTGGAAGTTCTTCAGAGGGATCCCAACTCTCCGCTCTACTCTGTTAAATCCTTCGAGGAGTTGCGACTGTAAGTGGATCTTCTGTTTGTCTGTTAATCTCTTGTTGTTCTACAATACTTTGGAGCAGGCTCACAAATATTTATGAAAAATGCATTCAGCCAGATAGGATGTTTGGGAGCCAAAATGTTACCCTAGCTTCTCCAGAACCATTCCTTCTCTTTGTGTTTTTATTGGAAATTTCTTTTAAGACATGTGTGCAGCCTCACTGACGCCTTTCAAAAAGATCTGTCTTTCCACGTTGTGCTGAAGATGTGACAACAACCTATTTTTTTCTGTGTGCAGCAAACCACAGCTGCTTCAGGGCGTGTACGGCTTGGGTTTCAACAGACCATCCAAAATCCAGGAGACTGCCTTGCCTATGATGTTGGCCGAACCGTGAGTATACTTTGTACATACACATTATGTGTCTTAAGGATTGCTAAGTTGAGCATGGTTTCCATATAACTACTCAAATGAACAACTTTTAATTAACTTCATGCCTTAATGTAAAATAAATTGATTTTACTTTTGCACAAGGTAAAATTAAATATAACCAATATGTATTTTGCCTGTTCCTGCGTGAGAATTAATTATTTGTTTCCTCCTATAGTCCACAGAATCTGATTGCTCAGTCACAGTCGGGAACAGGGAAAACGGCTGCCTTTGTCCTGGCAATGCTCAGTCATGTAGATCCCAACAAAAGATATCCCCAGGTTTGTTTTCAACCCCCCAACCTCCCCAGACCCCCACAATTTAGTTCTACAAGCTCTCTAATTGAAATCTGAATTTACTTCTTTCCATTAGTGCTTGTGTGTGTCACCCACCTATGAACTGGCCCTTCAGACTGGTAAGGTAATCGAGCTCATGGGCAAACACTATCCTGAGGTCAGACTTGTCTACGCCATCAGAGGAAACAAATGTAAGGATTCTCTGCTCTCTACATCTATACTATTATAGATAAGTCAAATATTTTCAAACCAAAATTTGTCAATTGTTTGAATCGTTCCCATTGATGAAAACATGACTGCATCTGAGAGATGACTCTGCGTTAATGAGCTTTTGTTTCTTGTGAATGTTCCAGTGCAGCGGGGCATGAAGCTGGAGGAACAGATTGTTATTGGCACACCAGGTACCATGCTGGACTGGTGCGGTAAATTCAAATTCATAGACCCCAAGAAGATAATGGTATTTGTGCTTGACGAGGCTGATGTCATGATCGCAACACAGGGCCACCAGGACCAGAGCATCCGCATCCAGAGGTAAGAATGAACACACTCTGCTCACTCCAAATTGAAAGTATCTGCATGTGAAAATCGTAGTAGGTAATGAGTAATGAGTTATCAAGCTGAGTTACTGCAGTGCACATACCCTGTTTCCATTTTAATTTTTCCCTCCTATCTTCTCTGCTTCTTAGGATGCTGCCTAAAAACTGCCAGATGTTGTTGTTCTCAGCCACATTTGAAGAGACCGTGTGGAACTTTGCCCAGCGCATTGTGCCTGAACCCAACATCATCAAGTTGAAGAGAGAGGAGGAGACTCTGGATACCATCAAACAGTACTATGTGTTGTGCAACAGCAGGGAGGAGAAGTTCCAAGCGCTCTGTAACATCTACGGAGCTATCACCATCGCCCAGGCCATGATCTTCTGCCATGTGAGTTCACTTCATATTCCTTCAGTTTATATACATGATCTGTTCTAAAATCAATACTCACCACTACTGCCAATTTTATTGGAATACAGAACAACAAATGGCTTTTAAAGGTTTTTTTTCTCCACTGAAAAGCTTTTTGTTTGTCAGCCATTATAATTAGTTGGCTTATTTTACCAATGCTTACATCACAAGGCCATCGTCGCATCCTAACTCTTCCTGTAAATCAGTTAGAGTTGCCAAGTTGTATTCTGTCATTGGGTCTTGTGTTACACGGGCACTTGGATTGCTGGTGCAGTAGTGTGATAACTTTCCTCTCTGTGATCCAGACAAGGAAGACTGCTGGCTGGCTTGCTGGGGAGCTGTCCAGAGAGGGCCACCAGGTGGCGCTGCTCAGTGGAGAGATGCAAGTGGAGCAGAGGGCTGCTGTCATCGACCGCTTCAGAGATGGCAAGGAGAAAGTCCTGGTCACCACAAATGTTTGTGCCCGAGGTAAGGACAAAGGCCATCAAAACAGACAAAAGGTCTTCATAAGACTTTCTATTAATCTTTTACATGCACGGGATATACCATTAATCCATGTTAAATGGCAGGATGTTAAGCACACTGTTTCATGCCACCTAGTGCAGAGAAGCATTCAGTGCTCTGGTTATGCAAGTGACTAGCTTGGTAGTGGGTGATACTGCTTGTATGGTGGAACAACAGTCCACTAAGATTTGATGCATGACACGTAAGCAATTGAATGGATTAAATAAATACATCTCTGCAGTTTCACATCATTAATCAGATATGGATATTCCACCCATTCATTTCAAATTGAATGTGCTTGAGTGCACAGCTCAAACAAAACTGTTCCCAGACGTTGTACATTTGGAACTATAAAAAGTCATTAAAAAAGACACTGGCATCATGTTTACAAACTTAGATATTTGGCCCTATAATGAAACTTTGAATACAAACACCTGATAATATATATTATACCAATGTTCAATTATTGAAATTAAATCTATTTGACAGAATTGAATATGTACAAAAGGGTATTTCTGTTTACTATGCCTAGTATACAGGGCTGCGAATATACATTATTTCATCTTTCTCTTCTACTTTTTCTTCAGGCATTGATGTGGAGCAGGTTTCTGTGGTGATCAACTTTGACTTGCCAGTAGACAAGGATGGTAACCCAGACAACGAGACGTACCTGCACAGGATTGGTCGCACGGGACGATTTGGCAAAAGGGGATTGGCCATCAACATGGTGGACAGCAAGATGAGCATGAACATCCTCAACCGGATCCAGGAGCATTTCAGTAAGTCTGCTGTAACAACACACGCGCGCACACACACACACAATTTATTATACACACAAACAGTGGCATCAAGTTGATGAAGGACACTCCTACATAAACAAACTACTCAATTTAAGAAGACTGTTGTTTTCAGTGATCACCCAGCTGTAGACCCTCTAAATCAGGGGTATTCAACTAAAATGTAAAGAGGTCCAGTTAAAGAGAATTTCTAGAAGCAAAGGTCTGAAAATTTAATGTGACTACTTAAGCCTAGTTTATGCTTCTGCGTTTTCAGAGCGACGCAGACGCAAGAACCCCATGTGTGTCCCCCCTTGCGTGCCTTTTCACACCTCCTTGCGTGTGTCGACCCATTTTTCTCCTGCAGTGCACAAGGCTGCGATTGGTTATACAACCCGCAGCCTTATGCACCGCAGCCTTATGCACCGCAGCCTTATACAACCCGTCCCGTCATTGGCGGGTTGTATAAGCGGGTTGGATTCATGGAGGGAGATCTCCGCAAACGTCGGTTTGCCGGTCGAGGGGTGAACAAAGTTGTGGAGGAAAATACGGGACATGCACGGGCAATAAAGTCTACGATCAATAAATAAACCAACCAATGACTTCCACAAACAAAGGCGTGACTCTCTAGGTCGTCTTCAATAGAAACACATTACTCCGCCTGTTGTTCTGGCGGTGAATTGCTCTGCAACACACGCAGGACTTTTAGAACCATGAATTGAAACGAGTGCGTCGACGCAACGACTCAGACGCAGAAGCATGCGCCAGCCTTTACTTTAAATAGAGGAGTAGAGTTGTATCAACATTTGCATTTAATCAATACACAACTGATAAAATGAATTCAGTACGATTCAAAAGCTCTTGAATATTTATTGTCACGTAACAAAGAACTGAACATATATCTGTAACTGCAAATATAAACAATGTTCTCTCAATTAACTAAATAAAAGTAGGGGTGCATTGAAAAAAAAAGTTAGAATTACTGTTAAATAAATGCTCAAATAAAGTGCTTCAATTCAGAAAAAAAACTAAGATAAGCTTGAATTTCCCCTTGTCTGCTTCACATTTGGACTTGACCGTCACATATTAACAATTAAAAAGTTTAATAGAATATATATATATATATATATATTCTACACCCCCCCCCCCCCCCCCTCATTGGGCCCCATGGATGCGTGTCAATGGGTTCTAAGCGTATAAGACACTGGTTTAGTGCTGCAGTGGGAAGTATAAACAGAAACGAGTTCATTATGGATGGATTATGGATTAAATTAAATCACAACCGTCTTTTTTTAACTTTTGGTCCGTGTACGGATGGGACGGCTTCTGGGTCCGGATCCGGATCACGGTCCGCCAGTTAGTGACCTCTGCTTTAAATGATACCCACAAATTTTTGTATCCCTCTACAGGTAAGAAAATTGAGAGACTGGACACGGATGACCTGGACGAAATTGAGAAGATTGCCGGCTAAAAAGAGCGGCTGTCTAAGGATTGTAGGCTCCTACGGTGTTTTATGCTTTTATTTTTTTAGCTGTCGGAGAAAAGAGCAAAACCACAAAGACGGCATATGATTGCATGTGGATACGTCTCCTCTCAGATGAGTGTTTTGTAAGTCTCCGGAACATACCCAATTTCACTCTTTGTACTTCTTTGAATAAAGTCTTTGAATAAAGTCTATCAGTTTATTGATGTGTTGCTGCTAAAGTAGCCATGGTTGACTAGCTATTACACAAAACAATTCTAATTACAATAGCTACAAGCTATTCTGTAATGAGATTACCCCCAAAAAACTCATCGAATGAGATCGATCGAAGATCATTTGTGCCACAATTTTTTATTTTTCAAAAAGGAGCAAAGTTTAATTGAATGTACCTGTTTCATGTAGATTATCATTACCAAACCTCCGTATAAAGGGTGAAGTTGGGTATGGTGCCCTGGGCAGTAGTTCTATCTTTAAAATTGTTATTGAGATGCTGATGGTTGGGTTTCATGGGTCTATGCAAAACTTATCAGCCTGTAATAGCATTCACTGTGTTGCTCCAAAATGGCCACATGGATCGAAAACATGTTATCCTCTACATATTTGCAAAAAACATACAGAGCATCCGGAAAGTATTCACAGCGCTTGACTTTTTCCACATTTTGTTATGTTACAGCCTTATTCCAAAATGGATTAAATTCATTATTTTCCTCAACATTCCACACATAACCCACAATGACAAAGTGAAAACTGATTTTTGCAAATCTGTTACAAATAAAGAACGAAAACATAACATGTACACAGCCTTTGCCATGAGACTCAAAATTTAGCTCAGATGCATCCTGTTTCCACTGATCATCCTTGAGATGTTTCTACAACTTGATTGGAGTCCACCTGTGCTAAATTCAGTTGATTGGACATGATTGAGAAAGGCACACACCTGTCTATATAAGGTATCACTGTTGACAGTGCATATCAGAGCATAAACCAAGCCATGAAGTCCAAGGAATTATCTGTAGACCTCCGAGACAGAATTGTATCGAGGCACAGATCTGGCGAAGGGTACAGAAAGATTTCTGCAGCATTGAAAGTCCCACTAAGCACAGTGGCCTCCATCATCCGGAAATGGAAGAAGTTTGGAACCACCAGGACTCTTCCTAGAGTTGACCGCACAGCCAGACTGCGCGATTGGGAGAGAAGGGCCTTAGTCAGGGAGGTGACCAGGAACCCGATGGTCACTCTGACAGAGCTCCAATGTTGTTCTATGAAGAGAGGAGAACCTTCCAGAAGGACAACCATCTCTGCAGCACTCCACAAATCAGGCCTGTTTGGTAGAGTGGCCAGACGGAATCCTCAGTAAAAAGCACATGACAGCCCACCTGGAGTTTGCAAAAAAGCACCTGAAGGACTCGCAGACCATGAGAAACAAAATTCTCTGGTCTGATGAAACAAAGATTGAACTCTTTGGCCTGAATGCCAAGCGTCATGTCTGGAGGAAACCAGGCACTGCTCATCACCTGGCCAATACAATCCCTACAGTGAAGCATGGTGGTGGCAGCCTCATGCTGTGGGGATGTTTTTCAGCGGGAGGAACTGGGAGACTAGTCAGAATTGAGGGAAAGATGAATGCAGCAATGTACAGAGACATCCTCGATGAAAACATGCTCCAAAGCGCTCTGGAGATCAGACTGGGGCGACGGTTCATCTTCCAACAGCACAACGACCCGAGGCACACAGCCAGGATAACAAAGGAGTGGTTTCGGCACAACTCTGTGAATGTCCTTGAGTGTCCCGGCCAGAGCCCTGACTTGAACCCAATTGAACATCTCTGGAGAGATCTGAAAATGGCTGTGCACCGACACTCCCCATCCAACCGGAACTTGAGAGGTTCTGCAAAGAAGAATGGGAGAAACTGCCCAGAAATAGGTGTGCTACGCTTGTGGAATCATACCCAAGAAGACTTGAGGCTGTAATTGCTGCCAAAGGTGCTTCAACAAAGTATTGAGCAAAGGCTGTGAATACTAATGTACATGTTATATTTTCGTTCTTTATTTTTAACAGATTTGCAAAAATTAGCAAAAAACTGTTTTCACTTTGTCATTATGGGTTGTTGTGTGTAGAATGTTGAGGAAACTAATGAATTTAATCCATTTTGGAATAAGGCTGTAACATAACGTGGAAATGTGGAAAAAGTTTCCGGATGCACTGTAGGTCAAATGAAGTGAGTGTGTCGCTTCTAAGAAGTGCTAAAACATTCCTCATGAGGTTCAATTTTGACGGAAGAAACATTTTGAATACAAGCCTGAATATATTAACATGCAGTCGAGGACTATAATGCGTGATGGAAGCTTTGGGCTGTCTTTGGTGTATTTGATCGATATGCTGGAACGTTAAGGGCAGCGGTTGTCAATCCGAACCTTCAGGCTCCCGATGCCACAGAGATGAAGTCCGGTTTTAATGGACTGTTAACTGACAACTTAGCCAAACTAGAATGTGTGCCGAAGCTCGACGAGAACGCTCTGTGAAGACTTTTGGATGAAGAACCAATGTATGCAGTTTTAATTTGGACAGGATGTATTATTACCACTGTACAGGAGGCATGGACACACAAAGCAGTTTTAGCTATAGTACTCTTCTCCACAGGTTGTATACTGTGTTTGATATTTTGTCAGAACCAACCAAGAACCAGTACATACATGTTTACATAGGGGTAATACTGCCTAACTAGGCTTAAAGCGACTTGTCTTTTGTAAAATGAAGGTCCCGTGTAGAAAATGACACTTATTCTGTAGCCGAGCTGCATTCATGGATACTCATGTATTCTTGACATGTTGAATTACAAGAACATGTAGATGTTCAACTGTGTGTTGTTAAGTGCTTATTTGTTTAAGTGGGGAAAAGACAAACAAAAACACCAGCTGGGGACACTGACAAATATAAACATCAATATAAAACTTTATTATAAGCCTTTATATTATAGAAAGACTAGATCAGCATGACTGGATGAAACAATTAATCCTCTGAGTTTCCATTGGAGGTAAATTGCTCCTCTGATGTCTGTTGGGAAAGCTGCATATCTGAAGATACAAAAGTTATATATCTGTAAGAAAAAGTTGCACACTGAAAATTCTGACGAGGAAATGCAATAAATTGTCTATATTCAATCAACACCCTACCGACAACTGCACTGCACGCTTTGCAGGTTAATATCAGTCGTTTGAAAGATTATCGTTAATATCAATTTAAACTTTTTAAGCAAACTAACAAACCAAAAATAAGGAGACACCTAATGCACACTACCATTAGCAAATACGTTGCAATGTAGTAGAGAGACTAATAACAATGTACAGTATGTTGGGGTGATATGGAATCAAATGCTGCCTCCTCACCAGTTTCTTTGTAGTCCACCCTGGTGAGGAAGAGGCCGCGGGCCGGAGCAACAATTCCTCGTGGGTAGGAAAGAGAGTCCCGAGCTTCCAGTATCCCCTGCAGCTGGGGCACTGAGAGCTGCCCCCGGCCTACAGCAACTAGAGCCCCCGTCATCCTCCGCACCTAGAGGACAGGGCCACGGAAACCTCTTATTTACAATGATACTTATGAAAATATCACAGAATTACTATTTGCCCATTTATCTTGAGCATTTTTATCTACATTTGATGCTGGAGCAGTGGTTTCCAAACTAAGAGGGAGAGAAACGGAGAGAGGGATAGAGGGAGAGAAAGAGGAGGAGACGGGAAGCATTAGAACGAAAGCAAAAAATACATTGATGGTTGTAAAGACTTCCTATAAATAAAATGTACATAAGACAACTATGTAGAGTTTATATATTAGAATGCAATTAATATAATGCAATTAATTCAAAACAAAGAAGGAACAATCCTATTTTTTTGTTTTGTTCTCGGGGAGGGGATGGGAGGGTCTTACAATGTCCCTGTGTCCTCAAAGGGGGCCCTGACAGAAAAGGTTTGGGAACCACTGAGCTAGAGGAACATTGCTTATGACTCATAGTCAGTCATCACCAGCAGGTGGCGTTACTTACTAACAATAAACTGCAACACGTTTATAGAGTTTAAAATAATTGAGCTAAAAAGAGCAACAAACCTGCTTGTAGAGAAAGGATCTGGCTGTAAAGGTCAGCTCCCAGAATGGTATCTCTCTAGGAAAAACAAACAGAAAACACTGTCTGAAAAAATGTGTCAACATTATGTACAATGAAACAATTGTTGAACGACACATGTTTTTATTTCTTGAGATGTCTTCATGTTTAAGGCGTGTTCCAAACACTTGTCACGAGAAGCAACAATAAAAGCATTGAGTCCTGAAGGCACTGCAGTCTGCTTGGCGTCACTGACTCAATGTGCCCTATGAAAGAAAGGTTAAGTATCACCAGAAGGGTTTATGAAGCATAACAAAATCTTGAATGGCTGTCTGTGTCTAATGTAGCGCCACTTGATCATGTAACTATATCGGAGGAGCCTGGATCTGAACAACAAAGATCAGCTGAATGAAGAAAAAACATGTAAACAAATCCAAACATTTCTCCAACAAATGTGTTCCACCCGACCTCAGCAAATTGAGACGTGTCTCTCCTTTATCGCCCTTTTGTTGGATATTTCTATGCCTCCCCCTACGATGTGGACAAAGGTGGGGGCTGATGACATTCACGGTCATGCCAGCATTAACGTAGATCCCAGCTTTCTTCATGCGCAGACTTGTTTAAATGTCACATTCTGAATATCGCCACTTAGGCCCGTTAAGATTAGCTGCAATGGCACAAGAATTATGAATCTGCTTCTTTTGCCTTTGAATTTTTGTTTTTTTTAACTCGACATTTAAGTCACATCACCCCCCACGCCTCCCAACAATCCGAACTGACTGACTTGATATTTTGTGGAGGAAAGAGTGAATGGAGCTAACAGACGCATGGGAAGAATTGGGGCAAATACAAATTCTACTCAGTGCTTGCAGTTTGATTACATTTGTAAGGAGAGCACATTTTTACAGTTTGGTTTTAAACACGTCACAGCTCAATTTCTTCTCATCTTATCACTGTCACTTGTGTAATCTGCCAAAGCCCACATGGACCTCTTTCCATTTCGTGCTCTCCCATCCCTCCCTCTTCCGTGTTCCTGTGCCTTTTGTTGCACCGAAGTAAATAAAGTAAAGTGGAGTCTGGCTGAAGCTTGAAAGGAAAATCATCTAAAGGCTGTACTTGCAGTGGAGTCACTGTAAATGATTCAAAACTTTTTTTAAAGTTCTTAAGTATCAGTTGTTGCAAGATTGAGAAACACAAGATGCATCTTTTGGGGGCTGGAAAGCCCAAGCATAATTTCTTCATCTTCCTCTGCTTTCTATTCACTTTAATTTGGAATAATCAGTTATTCTTTCTTACTGCAGATGTGAAGTCTCAGACTAATTTGGCTATATTTACCAAGATATGTCCATTTTTTTTACAGTTTGTTATCCTGCTCCAAAAAGGCCCATAAAAATGAATGCATGCTTCAACATGACACCTTACACCAACGCATTTTTTCTCACGTGTTCTCTGTGCTGACAGCCACTAGCCAACCCGTCTACCTGAAAGTAAACAGCCCACCTGTGGAAGTGGGCGCTTACGAAGGAGCTTCCTGGCTCTACGGTTGCCACATCCAGCGTCTTCAGAGGACTTATGATATGAATGTCGGAGCTGACGGCCCTGAAGCTGCTGAAGTCCTGAGTCCCAACCAGCAGCGCAGCAGCCTCACGCATGGCTCCCACATCCAGCTTCCTGAGGGAATATAGGAACAGATCACATTTTATTTAACAAATGAGCACAAAAAAGCAGTATTTTCTATGAGTGACCTCCATGAACCACAATGTCAAGGCTCTGAGATATGATGCACACATTGAGTGCAGGTGCAGCCACGATGCAATTTTTCATTTAACCGGTGTTCGTTCGTCAGTCTGAAAGTACACATTAGACACAATCATGTTCCTGCTCCCAAAATAGAATAAGAGCATGGAAATGAAGGAGTGTGCTCATCACTAATGAAAACGTTGAATGCACTGATTTTAAATCTTGAAAGGTGTGGTTTATCTCGTATAAGAGGTCTTTTCATAGACTATTAATATAGCATAACATTTTAATTGGAAGTTGATAAGTTGCATAAAGTTAAGAAAATGTAATACATGTCTCACTGAAACAATTAATATTTATTTTTCTTCATTTATTTTATAACCAAAAACCTATAAAACCTTTTGACATCATCATCAAGATGGTGAGGATGGTAAACACTGGTAAACCATCAGCATTTTTTAGCTATTACTATTGTGTCTACTTAATTTTATTAATTCATAAAATAATAAATATAATAAAATATTAAATTATTAAATAAATAATAAAAATACAGACGGAAAAAAACATTCCATTCCAATGAATTTTTGACTCATTTAAAAACACCCGCCGCAATATTATTGCTAACAATTATTGCTATAGTTCAGAGAGTGGGGGGGGGGATGACGGCGAGGGAGAGGCGAGGGAGAGGCCGATCAAAGAGAGAACGGAGAGAGGCTGCTGAGGCAGATAGCCTTTTCGGGGTGGGTAGATGAGATCCTGAAATTGAGAGGAGGAATAAAACCACAGACACCAGAGAGATAGAAAAAAGGGAAGAAAGGAGAAATGGAAAGAGGTGGGTAGATGAGATCCTGAAATTGAGAGGAGGAATAAAACCACAGACACCAGATAGATAGAAAAAAGGGAAGAAAGGAGAAATGAAAAGAGGTAGAAAAGTGTAGTGAAGAGGAGGAGAGGTGGCAGAAGGAAAGAGAGCTGAAAATACCCACAGCCAGGGTAATATGCGTGGGTTCTGCATGCATATAAGCCTGCAGCTTATCTTGGCCTACTTTCCTGCTAAAAAAAGGAGTGAATGAAGACCAGAAAAATGTTTGTACGTACACTCTCTGATTTGTGCTCCTTCAGTCTCGCTCCCAGCTAAAGAAAACATTGTCTAAGCCACTAAACACTCGCCATTTCATTGGTTTCTCTCTGCACTTTCTCTCTGTCCATCCTGATCCCCGTCTCCTTCATCTCCCTCCTTCTCCTTTATTTGTTTTTGGTCTGTCAGCTCAGATGAAACCCTTTGTTTGACCAGCCCAAATTTGCAATTCTGATATGGCACATGTGGATTATTCATGTGTTTAATGTGCCATTGTTTCTGCATCGCTTGACACAAGCGTATTGGGGGCGTGTCTGTGTGTGTGTGCATCTGCACCTACAAGTTAGATTGAGTCTGAGGTAGAAATGTATTTCTTATGGGAAATCATCAAACATATGGATACAGAACTAAACGACAGATGGATGAATGAAGGGAGGGGCGGCGTATAAAGTAGGATAACTCACTTGTCGCGGAGGTTCCAGCAGAGATCACTTTCGGTGAGGGGAAGCTTAGAGTTGTGTGAGATTCCCAAGGCTATTCGGTAGACGTAGGTCCGAGACTGGGCACGAAAACGAGCGTGAAAATCATCAGGCACGCGGTGGGCACGCGTGATCCTGGCAGAGGGACAAAAGAACAGTCTGAGTGAAAGATGACATTCAGGGCAGACAGGATGGCAATTTGAGCTCTACTGTATCTGACATTTTGAATATGCAGTTACTGCTTTTAAAATCATAGAACATCCGAGTGAACATTTGAATTCTGTTGGATCTTTAGGCAGTTATTTAAAAACCAGACATCCCATTTATCCTCCCTACTGTCATCTGACCCAGATGGAGTTTATACTCTCCTTTTGTATTGCCACAAAGAAAAACTGTGCACAAGTCAGTGTCCAAAATGCCAGAGTTGCAGATTTTTCTTTTTCAATGGTCCAAATTATAACTGAACAACATTACACAAAACCATTGTCTTTGACTGCCTATAAGCATCCTTCATATGTTCATTGCTGGTAAAGTAACACTCCACACTATCTCCTTTCAATGAGGCAGAGATGTTTGTTCAGTAATATTACAGTGACAAGTAGGGAATCTTATATCTGTAGACTAAAAGAACAAAGAACTGCAGCCAGCTGTTCCAGGGTGATTGCGACCACACTGTTACACGTGTATGCAATCATGCATGCACATGTGTGCTGGAGAAAGCAGGAGTTGACATGGGGTTGGTGTATTGTACATAATATAGACGTATGTGCCGTGGTGTCTGTTTTTAGTACACAGCAGAGCATGAACAGTCTATCAATGAGTGTGTGTGTGTGTGTCTTTTAGTGCACAGCCAGAAAAATAGGTTATGTTTGCAGGGGAAGATATTGGGCGCGACACGTGGCAGAGGAAACCCTTGCGTCTGCCATCAGAGCCTGCTCCGATGTGAAGTGACAGCCTGTTTGCCTGGCTCCCAAACCACACATGCATCAAATTTTCATAAGCAGTGTACAAAACATGGCCTTAAAACAATTGGGAACTAGTGCTTGTTTGGCACTGCCCCATTTCACTAATCAGCAGTTTCCTCTTTTGGGAAAATATAGCCGATCATTTAATTTAGGGCTAATTGAGGTTTTTCCACAAAGGGACAGCAGACAAGTGAACACCAGAGACGATGTGCTTTTAAGATGGACCCGGAATAACAAATTATTTACGATTTGAACACAGGGGAATGTGTATGAACATTAATGGTGGTTGAATATTTTGGCAATGTGTACATGATGTAGTTCAGAGGCGATCAATAATTCTGCTTATAATGACGTTACTGAGAACAAGATATGTGTTTATACTGTAGATCTCTCAGTAGGTTGCACATTCTAACCACGCTGTGGTTTACATTTAGCTAGATGAGACTATCATTGTGTGAGTGTGTGTTAGGGACCAAAAAGCAGAGCAGGGATAATCCTTTCTAACCTTCGCTCCGCAGGTTTAGGGATTAGCGGGATGCTGGAAGCTTTCCTTTCCTCTCCTCGGTCTCTCTCACAGATGGTCTATTCTGTTTCAAACTCACTGCTCCGTCTCAATGCCGTCTGTGTCAATATCTGTTTGGGGCTCTTACTTTGTCTCTGCGCAGGTCCCTTAATCCCAAATATCTGAATCTCTTTGTCTCTCTTTTACTTCTTTTACATTCTTCTCTTTCAGACAGGAAAGTAGTCTAAACCAAAATAGTCCTCAAAAAGTGGCTGCGTCCTTGAATAGTACAATGATGCACTGTGTACTAAATTGATTAAAGGGAAGAGGTGAAGAAAAAACACAGCGAAGAAAGAAGGGAGAAGACGGAACAAAACAAACCAGGATATGAAATACTCAATTCACAATTCATATTGCTCTCTCCCTCGAAGGCTCAACTTGTGGCATTTCATCAACGCTATATGCTAACTGCTAGTAGATAATATACTTGTATTATTGTTAGAATATGAGAAGAAATGTAAGTATGTTGTTGGCGATATAAGGTTTTAAAAACAATACCAGAGTACAATTATCTGAGGAATTTGTGTGAATTTGCCTATTTCGGCTGCTTGTAGAATTATTGGAATTGTGGATACGATAACCAATAACTTGTAGGTGTTCATTCACCAATGTCATATAGCATTGTATTTCAATGTAACTATCATACAGCAAGCAAGACACCTAACCCCTAATTGCCCCTAATTGCTCCCCGGGCAAAAATGTGAAAAAAGCCATGGGTTTAAAGTGTAATGTAAGTCGCTTTGGATAAAAGCGTCTGCTAAATGACCTGTAATGTAATGTAATACAATATTTATGGCCCATTTGTTTCATACCTTTACTTCAATAAGAAGTTATTGAGATCAATCAGAAAACGTCACACCTAAACTACAGACTTTCAGGTTACTGTGGCTGGGGCACCAAGAAATATATCCAAATATTCAACTTGCATGACCTTGTGTTACATTGAAACCCTATGAGACCCACCTGATCTGCTCAGCCCCGAGATTGAAATTGAGAGCTTCAACAAGAATCTCTGCAGTAAATGGCGGCTTGTCCTTCCTGCGTTGGAGGTCGAAATGGGCGGAGTTAGAGAGAGCGTTGACACCCGTGTCTGTCCTGCTGGAGACTGACAGAGACACTGTGTTGAGCGGCTTCAGCTTTCCTATCGCATCCTGACCACAGATAGAGAGAACATTGAAGAGATGAATTAGCTGTGGGCCCTTGTCTAAAAAAAAACACTTTTGAATGAGTAGCTCTTGAACATTTATTTAGGCATGCGACAGGAGTCACTAACATGCAGACTTATGAATAATCAGCTGTATGAAACATCTACCATGTAAAATACATTTAGCTTAGTCCGTGTTTTAAGAAGACGGGCTGAAAAACATCTGAGGGACTTAAAACGTCTTCATCGGGGTATATCAGGACGATATTATCAGGGTTAAGTCAAAACATGTTGTACATCCATAATGTAAGAAGCGTTTCACAATCAGAGTGCCTCCGATGTTTTTCAGACTGCCAACGAATACCAAAGACTTCCTTCAAACGTAGGTGGACAGTAAATTATTCTGTATTAGTACATGAGCGCTTACCCTATCCATGAAGAGAACTAGATTGATTTTGTATTTCAACATTACCAACATTGGGTTCCTTAACCCAGAACAGCAGTCTTTTACTCTGAAACAGTTTAAACACAAACTAAATACTAAAACCTTCATGACGGAAGGACTTATTGTGGCTATTGTGTTATGCATTAGTTGGCGAAAACTCAAATCATTTCTACACTGATTAATATGATAGCCAGCTTAATAGACTAGCCTGCCTACAGTATATGTTGTGTTTTAAACAAAAGGCTGCAGGTAATTTCACCACAAAACCATATGGTAGCCTCTCAATAGCTTGTTTTCTGGTTTGCAGGATTAGAACTGAAGTTGGGATGAAGAAAAGAAAGATGAACATGTATTTGAGGACACAACATGTCATACGTACCTCCAAGTGGTCCTGGACCCCCTTCCAACCCAGCTGATTGGAAGGCGCTTTCACTGCACCCCTGTAGAAATAATCATAATCAAATAGATAAATATAGAGTAATAATAAAACACAAATAATGTGTAACCAGTTTCTCTTCGGTATAACCGTACCTGTATTTTTTTCCAATGTATTGAAAAAATATGAGATAACGAGCCCCGTTGTGCATGGTCTGTCCAGATGTTTCACACGGGGGGAAATCCCCTTCACGCACTTACAACCTATCACCGCGTCTATATTGTTGCTGACAGGGACTGTGAAGGACGACGTTTGCAAAAGCCTGTGAAGGACAGTGTTTTAGGAGAGACGAAAGACCACAGACTGGGGGAGAGGAAACACAGCGGGCGGAACTTCCACACGAGCCGCATTTCCAATTTGTAGTCCGGAAGAACCGTAAAAAACAGCTTCTCAGCTGCGATAGGGTCGGTTCAGTGTATCAATTTAGCATTTATTTTCTTAACTTTACACAACAACCAGCATTGTGTCGATGAGACGACAACATGTGTATCCAACACTTCCTGTGATGACGCGCTGCCTGTACATACACGTGTATGTGTGCACATGTGCACTTCAGTGACAACTACGGTCCCTGCATGTCTAAATTCAATTAATCGGACATATAGACATGAATGTAAAGTTTAACCTTTCATTTTGATCATATGAGCAACGACTCTGCCGTCTGACTTTGCCCTTATCTGTCGCTTTTTGATTGCGTCATAATCGACCGAGGCGGCGCGTGTCGGCTCTGACCAGCTGCTTAAACCATCTGCCTTGAACATCATTGAGGTCAGAGACGGTGGAGATGTGTCAGCTGCGAGAGTGATGAAAAGAGTCAGATAGAACCACCATCCACAGAAGACTTCATGTCGGTTTATGATGAAAGTAATAGTCGAGTCAAAAGAGTCAACACGAGCTGACCAGCAGCCTATACGATTGGAGGGCCACTATGATATAATAATTAAATCAGACTTGTTATTTATGTATTCCATTGGAAAACAATCTCAGCTTGCAGTCGATCGCTCTTTCGACTTATTCATTGCGCAATTTGCTGCCAGAAATCTGAGATGAAAGTGTCTTTTCCCGATTAAAGTAAGAGATTCAGGTATTCGTCTTTAAAATCAATATTGTTTTACAAAAAGCTCTCCAGGCCTATGCCATGTGAGGTAGCCTACAGTTTGAGGTGGCAGCATAAGATTTTTAGCAGAATATTAGGGTCATACTCCCTCTTTTCTAGATGTTATACGATGGACCCTAACCCTAACCCATAAACATCACAATTGTTCGAAGGATCGATGATGAGAGTCTACATAATATATTTCAAGTAATTGTGCGAGTTACACCGATGGAGAATGTACCTGGGGAAATACATGTATTCCTGCCTTTAGCCAGAGTTGTTACGCTGGATGGTAACTAGACGGCGCTCTCCTCTCCCCTTTTCCGTGTCCACGGTACAGAAACACTGGCAGCAGCGTAGTAGTAATCTGTCTGCCGCGCACCGAGCTCGCATTTTGTGTCACGGTGCCACCGGGAGAGGGGCGACAGACTGCTGCGCGTCAGGGGACACCGGTGACCATCCGCACGGTTCAAGCGACATCCCGCCGCGGGCAATGACATTCGCTGATTGAAGTGGGAATACACAAGGAAACGCAAAAATGACGGTGGACTTTGAAGAATGCATAAAAGATTCACCCCGATTTAGGTAAGTCGGCTGCTCTTAGACACATCATCGGTGCGCAAAAACGGCACACCTTCTTTTACGCATCTTTTTTTTTAAATGGGGACCGAACGTCTTCCGCTCATTCAGCATTTGTGTTCCCATCAAACGTGAAACCAGATGATTCAGGCATGTGTTCGATAGCACGGCGTGTTTCTTTGATATATATTTTATTGCATTTGATCAAAATCAGGATTTATTTTATTGACACATGCTCTTGGTTGTTCAATCATTCATTTGATATATTTCTGGACACGCGTGTCATTGGTTCCAATGTGATTTTTTAAATGTGGCTCGTAACGCTAGCTCAGTACATATGCGAGGAGGGACACTCATTTCCATGCACAGCGAGGATCCATTTTGCGTGAGTGTAAAAATGATAAGTGATTTCCAGCATGCTTTAATCAACCACCTGATATGTCCTGAATAAGAAAGGGGCACTCCTTTATTGTAGCCCAGTGAGAGTGTATGATGGGAGGCACCTGTGTGTGAATGTTGTGCAGCATGGCATTCGGGTTAAGTGCAGTCTTTTCATCTGCTCATAGACAAGGCCCTCTCCTTCAGTGCTGGTAGGAGAGAATGTACCCTTGCAGCAGCAGTCTTGGCCTGGCTGGTAAAGAGGCAACAGGGAGAGAAGTTCCTCTCTGCAGGAGACAGAGTTTGTATGGGCACAGATCCAGCAGTCCGAGCCGGCAGGAGTGTTCTAGCCACACTCGGTCCACGTGCCAGTCTGGCACTCTGATAAGAAACTATAGGAGATTGAACAGCATGCAAGCCCGGGATCTCATGTGAATTATGAAATTGGCTGGTATTATCATTTATTCAGAGTTTCACTAAGAAAAAGCAGGGTGTGGAAAAATAGTCTGTTGTCTCTGTCTTCTGCTCTGATTCTTCTAAGCGTATTTTCCGTGTTTGCTCTCTGTTCTCTTTGTTTGTCGATTTGTTGCTTCCCTCATCTTCTCTCTCAGACACAACTCATCCAGCTTGTTGCACGACTTACAGATAGTCTGTGATTGGAGTGATAAAGCAGACAGTGGAATGAAAGAGTAAGAGCTGATACAGATAGGCATTGGCATTTTCTGCTTAGATCCCACCTCAGTGATGGATGGTTGAGACGGAGGGTCACAGGAAGAGACATTTTCTGCCTGGTTCACTTTCCCATGGTCTAATGCAGACTGCTATTTGGGAAATTCTAATACCGACAAAGGAAACTGATGTTTCCTTGGAATAGGGAATTTGTAATGTTGTGTAATACTGCAAACATGATGGTATGATAATCTTTTTGCTGGTTTGGATTACATTTGGATCATAATATATTAAAAAGCAATCAATGTTTTTATTCCTCTGTATACGTGATATTGTCCAGATTTTTCTGATCAGAGGTGCCGGTTTGTCCGGAGTTTGGTTTCTGGTTGTCTTGACAGTCTGCTGGACAACACTCAGAATACTTGTGTTCATGCACAAACACACATGGTTTCCTGCTAAAAAAATAAAAGTGTTGGAACCATCGCATTGTTAATTTTATCTCATTTCAATTTAATTCATTTTATTTTGTATAGCCCAAAATCGCAAATTACAAATTTGCCTCGGAGGACTTTACTGTCTGTACACATGCGACATCCTCTGTCCCAAAATCCTCACATCGGCACAGGAAAAAAACTCTGATGAACCCTTCCATTGGGAAAAAGGGAAGAAACCTGTAGGTCCAGCATGATAAGAAAAGAGATGAGTCCTTGGTCCGATGTAAGTAGAAGATCATTCGTAATTTTCACCAGTGCTGTTTCTGTGCTATGTTGCACTCAAAATGCTGACTGGAAATCCTCAAACAAAGCATTGTTTTGTAGAAAGTCACATAATTGATTTGCAACGGTTTCTTAAGAAGAGGTTTAATTACAGCTACCTTGAAGGACTGTGGAACATGTCCTGTCAAAAAAGAAAGATTCATAATATCCAGTAAAGACGTGCTAACTAAAGGAAAAACTTCCCTAAGCAGCTTAGTCGGAATCAGATCCAAAAGACGTAGTAGAAGATTTAGACTTCGAAATTATAGAAGTCAGTTGATCAAGGTTGATGGAAGAGCAGCCATCCAAGTAGGGATCACAGCCAACTGCTGCACCCAAAGTTCCTACATCCAAGGCAGGAGACGAGGAATTTTCTCTGATAGTCAGAATTTTATCATTCAATCAGTTCATGAAGTCGTTACTAGTGAGGTCCAAAGGAATCCACGGCTTGACAGAGCAGTGACTCTCTGTCAGTCTGGCTACAGTGCTGAAGAGAAACCTGGAGTTGTTTTTATTTTTCTCTATTAATGATGAGTAATAAGATGCTCTTGCGTTACGGAGAGCCTTCTTATATGTTTTATGGCTGTCTTGCCAAACTAGCCATAACCGTTCAAGTTTCCGCACAGTTTGCTTTGAGTTCTGTGTTTGAGGGTTATACCAAGGAGAAAACTTTCTTCTTGTTGCCATTATTCTTTCCAGAGGAGCAATAGTGTCCAGCGCCATTCTCAAAGAGCCTGTAGCAGCATCAACAAGATGATCGATCTGGGACGGACTGAAGTTACGTAACAAAACAAAAATTGAGGAACTGATGGCGCAATAAATAGTGATAAATAATGAAGGCAGAGCAAACACAACCATTGCTGTAAACTTCCAGGTAATTAAAGAAAAACAAGGCAGAATTTTCCATTGCGCTTAAGTAATTGGTGTCCCAGGTTGTTTTCTGCTCTTTGTTATGTATGCCTGAAGAAAAAAAAAAAGCAGGAAGAGTAGCGAGCTGGTCCTGTCTGTCCTCTCAATGCTTGCACACACCCTTTGACTGCAGGTCTAAACTTGTACCAGTCCTGTATGTGCATATGCTTGACTAGGTGAGTGTAAAATAATTTTAAAGCAGTCAAGTTTTGCTAAAACTCTTTTTTACATTGTCCCTTTCCCTAAACTTATTTTTTTTCTTTTCTGCCCTGACTTATTCAGCTGTCACCTGCAACATTCATTAATTCTGGAACAAAACCTGAGAGGAAGCCCTCTGCACTGGCCTGTAGTTTTTAGATTGTCGTAATCTCTGTAGGCCGTTTGGTTCGGTTTTTGGCTCGGCTACACTGAGAGTTAATATAAATTACTATACTTTAGGTTTTCTTGCGATACAAGAAGAGAACTCTGGCCGAGTAATTTTTCAACAAACGAATGAAGAAAACAATTAACTTTTAACATGATATTTTGATAAGCAGTGCTGCGTATTTAGCGTTTAACTGTTAATTCTAACCATCCGCTAAGAAACAAGTCAAACAGGTCCTACCAAAACTTAAGAAAGGCAAGTGTTACAAGAGCCTTTTTAAACTTATGTTTAGTTCTTTTGTGGACGCCAATGTTATGATATAAGTTTTAATATATATGTGGGTGTGACCTGTTGCCTAGCAACAGGTGCTGTAAGTGAGGCAAATGGGAGCGTGGAGAAAAGAGAAATTTAAGAATGGGAGAGGAGAGAGGGTGCTTTGAAACGAGAACGCTACTTTTGCGCTACATTACTTCTAATATCCCATCCTGAGTTTCATTGCAGCAAGTACATTCAACTACCTTCTATTTTGATACATTTCAGGTTGTAGTCAAGTCATCAGTAGTTAGATCAGAGTGTAATCTTGGTTCTGAGAATTTACACATCCTGAGAACTGGCTGCACCTGTCGGCCTGGCCTCTTTCTGCCTTCTTTTCTCTGTCTTTTAATCCCACCCACACAGAGTACCCTGCACCAGGATGTACACACTGGTTGAGTGCATCAACCAAATTTCAGAAAGAGACAGGTGGAGACAATTAACTTGACACATTGGGTTGTCCTTCAATCATGAGATGGCTTCACTATTCCGTGTCGAAATGTACTTGGTGAAGACACACCCGACATTGGTAAATGAATGGATGTAAATGGTTTGTTAGTGCTGATGGCAGGTGACACCTTGTATGGTATCCCTCCCTTAATGGGGAAATAAGATGTCGTGTAAAAACGCATTTAGTTGTCATAGAACTAGCACTCTGAAGGTACATGCTTGTTTACCGTCTCATATTTGGCGTTTTATACAAACCAAGATTTAACAGGTTTTTGTTTTCCAGTCATTAAGAAACCGAATAATTGATAACAATTTCCATGTCTATAATTAGCATATAATATGATACAACTAAGAATATTTGTAACATAATATTTGCAATAAGTCTGTGATTGATAAGCAATTATGATATACCCTGATACTTATGACCTAATAGGTTGTCATAAAGCAATGTAGACATATTTAGATATACACATTCCCATGTGTAGTCATAGTAAGTATTCCCATTGAATCTTGTTGAAGCTGAGTTGCAGTAGTCTAATGTGAAATCACACATCATTTGCAAGGAATTACATACTGAAAGAAAACCAGTGGGTGTGTAGACTGTCAAGCATAATAAATGATCAATGGGGAATCATTTCCCATTCAGGACTGGATGGAGTTGTGTTACACTCACATCACCTTCATATCACATGAAAGTTGCGAAAACTGCATGCTAGTTGACCTCATGTTGAGATAATCTCTTCAAGTTGCTGCTTATCTGAGCATGCTGCCAGGAAGAATTCACAATCCATAAATACATTTGAAAAACCACCCGTACAGACAAGCACCATTACTGGCGGAAAAGTTCTGTCCGATATCTGCAGTTCTTTTTAAACACCTGCCTTTACGAATCAAAAATACACGATTACAACCCGTCTATGTGTTTTTGATAGAGGAAGGTCTTATACCTTGTGAAAAGGTTAACAAACTAGGTAGGTTTTAATGATCCAAAGTGATTAGTTTTTTAATCCTTTCCCTGGCACCTTCTCTTACGAATATATAAAAGATCATGCTGCTTATGTTTTTCTTCTAGACCCATTTGGTAAAGTTCCACAAACAGAAGGTTTGTAGCCTTAAAAAATCCTCAATAATTTCTGTTGAATCAAGCGAGAGATGTGGTGGAACAAGAG